ATAAAAACGGCCGAAATGAGTTTTCCTCATAGGGTCTGGGCTCTCCCTAAGAGGTATTATTATTCAAGTTTACAATGTTTCATGAAGCTGCTGCCTACACTTACAGTTGAACTGGTGCATTAAATTCAGTAAAGGGTTTTCTTTTTCTTAGAAGTTAACTTTAACGACACTTTATGGTTTTTCCTTATTTCTCTCTCTTCTGATTGATGCAACACTCAATACAAACCCAGCTGAAGCAAAAACTGCCATTTTTTCTGGTGTTTTCTGTTTTACTTTCACTCATTAATGTGTATGCATGATTTCAAATGTAACTGAGGAACTTTAGTGGAAACAAATTCAAGTAAAAATAAAAGCTCAGGTTCTGTAAACAACTTAAAGTATATAATGAACAAATTGTAATTATAGTTATACGAGTAAATGTAACTAATTACTTTCCACCCTCTATGCCAGAACCAAAATATATATATTTTTTCCACATTGTGAAGTGTTTATACTTTCTGTGTTATTCGTACAGGTAGCCATAACCAGAAAATATATTTTTTTAACTATTTCACTAAATTTCAAATGAATCTTACGGATTGTGTAGGTAGATGAAAAGGTGATGTAAGAAATCAACACATTTTAAAATATGAATGTGTTCTTTTAAGTTAAATGCATTCTACTCTCTCCACCAAAAACATATTTTAGTAGTGAGAGTCTTGTGAAAGATCTTGACAGCCAGTGAGTGTCTTTAATGGCATGCAGAGGAACAAGCCTACACAGCCTTGTTACAAGTCTTCTTGGGTGGGACCAGTGAGTTCTCAGGGTTTATTGTGGAAAAGTTATGCAAAATACATTTCACTTTCTTCTCATGCTGAGTCCTACATACTAATGTTGCTGTCATGCTGTCCCACCCCACATTGAATCATTTTCAGATGAATTATTGCCTATTTCCACATCTGCCATTTGGAAGAGTTTGTTAATAAGTATTTCCTTTTTCATTTTTTACTGTGCATAACAGCAGAACAATTCTCCAGTAACTGTTAATGTAGGTAGCTGCTTTTTATCACAAATGTGCACAAAACTATGTGAATAATTCACTTATGTAAAAAAAAAAAAAAAAAAACAATTTCTCTAATGCTGCGTTTCCATTAAATCAGAAACGTAACTAATGATTTTGAAGAATGTAATAAAAACTATCTCTAATAAATGTTCTTGCTACGTTGTCTGGTTATTAGCAAATGAAGATAATTTTGGTCATTCAAGCTAATCTAAAACAAGAGGAGTGTGATCTGACCTAACTTCACACTTGTTATTCATTATATGCAAATATCTGGTTCCAGTTGTATATACACAACTTGTAGTTGTGTATATACAGGGGTGAAAGTAGGGGGGTACTGTCGGTGCTGCCTACCCCTAAAAGATTTAACGGGGGTACCAGTACCTGCAAGAGAGGGGAGCGGCTGTCTGCTCTAAAAAAAATCAATGCATTCACTGTGCAGCCATGAGTGTACCCACTAATCAGCTGTGGCCCGTGACTGATTAGTTTTTCAAGAACAATCTAAAATACAACCTAATCAGTTAATAAATAGCTTTTTCCACATTTCATATTGTTTCTGAACTGTTTGTGCTTTACTATAGCAGGGCTGCAACACGTCGATCACAGAAGGTTTTGAGTCGATCTCAGCATTAGGAGACAAACTGAACGCTGCCAGGAGGCTGAGATGTTTCATTAAGTATTTAACAAACAAATGGGTAATTATGTGAACTTAAATTAATTGTCTAATAAAAAATAGTTTGGTGCTGTCGGCCTCAGAGTCTGAGAGGCTTTTCCTTTATCAAAGTAATTTTTTCCCCCTCTTATTTAGTGGAAATATTGATGTTGAGATTTTCTCCAAAATTAAAACCTTTTTCAACCTTAAAGATCCACTGTTGAAAAGCTCTAACATTCACAGATGACATTGAAATAAAATCCAGTCCAACATCTGGTTTGAGGTGATTCCTCTGCAACCTGTTGGAGAAAAAACATCCCAACTTCAGAAGATGAGCTTTAACCTAACAGAGCTCTGTGGTTCCTCCTGTCAGGGTGAGGAGGCGCCATGTTAGGAAGATGAAGCTGCAGGATCTTCAGAACAAACAGGTCATGATGCTGGGCTACTGATTATCCCTCTGTCTGGACACAGGATCAATAGAACCAGTTTAAAAGATAAAATGAATGGTTATATTCCAGACATGGAAAACTGTGATGCACTCCATGCCACGATGTTCAGAGTTTAGGTCTCCTGGCATCTCAAGGTGTCAACATGGCAGCCAGTGAGCTGAAGGAGGAAATACAGCTTTATTTTGTATCAATTCAAGAACTACCAGCTTTTATCGCTTCGCAAAAAAATTCATCAGCACATAAACTCCAAAGCACACAAAGAATATCTATCTATCTATCTATCTATCTATCTATCTATCTATCTATCTATCTATATATATATATATATATATATATACACACACACACACACACACACACACACACACTTTTGTCATAGTACCCCCAAGAATTTAAAACTACTTTCACCCCTGAGAATAACTGAACCAAAGGTACCTAAAGAATAAACCTAACTAGAAACACTACCAAGGACTGAAAATAAGGAACGCAATAACAAGACAATTCTAATAACACCAAATAACCTCAAATAATAAAACTGAAATGACCATGAAGGGCTTACCTAAAGTGAACTCAGACATAATGATAAATAAGATCAAAAGCAAACAAAAAACCCAGTCCTGATAGTTATAAGCAGAATTTTTATAACTTAAGGTAACATAGTTACTTGACTGTTTATAAAAATATCATAATATGCCTGGAAAATATGTAATACTGCCCCTTTAATGCACTTTTTTTTTTTAAAAATCAAGCCATTCTAAACGTACATTCCAGTTTATCCTAGCTATCAAACAATGCAGTCAAGTACAGTTCATAATTTAAATTGGTTTTAAATGAGAATGAAGGGGAAAAAAGCGTTGGGACTGCACTGCTGTGTAGCCTGAAGAAATTCACAGGCTACACAAATCGCCCACTGATCTGCGTATCCGTGTGCGCTTGTGAATGCGAATGGGCGAAAGTGACTCTAGTGTAAAACCCCTGGGCTGCGGACCGGTACTGGTCCGAGGACCAATTGGCACCGGGCCGCACAAGAAAAAATTAAATATTTCCGTTTTATGTATTATCTGAGTCTGGAGGAACTTTTAGTTTGAAAATCCCTAGTGATGGGACATCATAGGAAGATGTGCAGACCTGATATACCCATCATGCCTAGTGTCTGCCTTACAGTGGTTGTGCTGATTACTCTTCACTGATGGCATGGATATATTCTAAGATGGCAATGCCAGGAAGACATTACAAAAGTGGTTTCAGGAGCATGGGAGCACATCTGATTTCACCAGAGTCTGGAGTTACCCTCAGTGCTAATCTTCAGGAGGTGATAGAAAGGAATTCATGGAGAGGTCTGACTCACCTGCTACTTGCATTTACATTGCAGTTGTATATGTACATTTGAATGCTTATGCATTTTGAAAAGGAAGTACTTCTGTACTTTTCACCAAGCAACTTTTACTTTTAGTTGAGTAAGATTTGACCATTAGTATCAACACATTTACTCAAGTGCTAGTGATGAGTACTTTGTCCATCACTGATTGCATATAGTGAACTTTTTGCACTACTGATCAAATCTAAAGGTTCTACAACAAAATGCTAGTGTGTAACATTTTCTTTGCTTTTAAGTTGTCATTCAATCGCTCCAGATAATGATTTACAGTTTGAGGCTTAGCACTTGCTGATGCTAATTCTATCAGTGCAGCTTTGTGAGACAATATTCCATCTATCTGCTTCAGAAGAAATGCTAACAAATGCTTAAAACAAGGAGGCAAAATTATGCAATAGCAGTACATTTGAGGAAGCTAGCAAAATAATTAATCCGTGTTATCTTTGAGCTTTCTAACAAACAATGAAGGTACACCTTAAATTCAAGACAAGCTGCTTTCACCATGGAGATGTAATGATTTTATAACATTTTAGTCTCTTATGGAACTAAGCTAGCCAAGCTCTCGTTAGTTTCTTTAGCCACCGTTTCTGGCTTATCTTTGATCAGATCATCAGTTGACTTCTCAGTAATGTCATTTTTGTCCTTCTGATTGTGTCACACCAGACATCATGCAAATTCCAGTAGGAATAAGTAGTTCCACTTTAATGTTCAGCTAGTTCGTCTCACTGGTTTCTCTATCGCTACGAAATCATGTGTGTAAAAATGTAACCAGGCTCAGCGTGCAATGGGAAACGCATGTAAATTCCCACCTACATATTTCGCAGATTAATAGACAGCACGAGTTTTAGTCTGAAGGCAAAGTTCTGTGGTTTGAGTCGGAAAACAAGCGAAAAAGCCTTTCGTGAGTTTGTTGCAGCAGCAGACAAACTTTTTAGCGAAGCATGCCACCAGCTATTGCAGCCACTCAACAAAAGCTTGAGGTGACTCATTTGTTTTTATTTTGCTCAAAGTGTTTTATACAAATCTAAAAAAAAACTCTTTTCAGAGGAAAATGCCATAATAAGGTTCATTTTTGCAAAAGAGTGTTATCAAAAATGTATGTGTTTGCCAAGAACAAAGTTTTTATTAGATGTATATATGGTAGATAGTGATATTAGAAGAACATTTTGTATGTTCTCCACAGATGCAAAAGCTCAAAGTAAAAGAAGAACAACTTCCGTGCTGCAAGACCTGCGGCGCTCGGAAGCTCCTGGAACTCAAAATCAGAAACGTGGAAACAATATATCCTTTATATATCCTTTTTTGAATTAAGACAAGGAGTACAGGCCAAAGGAGTACAGGTTTTCTTTCATTTTTCCCAATGCTTCCAAACCCTAATCTTGACTGTGGATGCAAATAGTCTAAAAAACGTCCCCCCATATATTTGCATTTAAACAAATAGATAAAAGGTCATTTTGAAAACCTGCCTCCTGATGACTGCAGTGTGAGGTGCCATGTGTCCCTGCCCTCTTTACAGAGTGGTTATAGCTCTCTGAGTGGCACGCCAGTCAGTATGGTGCTGCACTCCTGCACTGAGCCACTGTAGGCAAATACAGCTGAGGGAGAACAGAACAGCTTCTGTGGGTGTGTGTATGAGTGTGTGTGAGTACATGATACACCGTTCAGCTGCATCATGGACACAGGTAAGACTTTTTCATTCATGCATATGCCCGTCTTCCTTTTCCTAAAAGAAATGTTATGAAAATCAGTGTTGCTATGAAGAAATCAAAATTCTCTGCTGTTTCTTGTTGTGCCAGCATGCTGTGATTTTCATTACTGTGTGTGACAGTTAGTACCCCGAAACTTGTTAGATCATGTTTATCTCTGCAGAGCGCTTCTTACAACAGGAATATGAGGAAACCTACTGGCAGGAACTATTTATGTCTAATTGAACAAGTGTAATTCTATGTTGTGATTGTTTTGAAAATTGAGTAAAACCCTGACTTTCTTTTCACTTAGAATAATGCAAAAAAAAGAAAAACATTGAAATCCAGATTACATTTTTTATTTTCATTTTCAAGAATCTCTTTGCTGGGCAGATTTGGAGCTTATCTAAAAGATCCATTCAAAAAGCTGGGGTCTTTTACATACAATTTTTTGCATGCAATTTCCGTTTGCATAATAAAGTTTGCATTTTCATTGAGTTTAGACCTTTGCTTCCCAGGAATGTCCCCAAATCACACCAGCACCAACGTGAGATTTATAAAATCCAATACCAAAAATGACTTGATTAATAAATTTATGGGATTTCTCATTTCTATCAAAATCCATGTTTTTTCATTAACATGCATAACATGCATATTTTCTTTTCATTAATAAAAGAAAAACATGCATGTTTTATAATGCCATACCTTCCGACCTTTTCTTTCTGCCTGGTTGAAATCAAGTGTTTCTAGCTAATTGCTTCATTTTAGTTGACCATTTGGAACAACCAGACCAAGGGCAATTTCCATGACATTTACACACACAATCCCAAAGAGTCATTCACCTATATGCATAAAACTGTGATGTATTCAAATGAATGCACTTTTGTGGGAATGGATGAAAATTTGGATGAAGTTGTGCAGGAGGAGGAATGTTTTCTAGCTGAGATTAAATCTCCTCTCAGTGTTCGTTTTTTTGTTGTCTCTACTCTTCAGAATATTCAAAAAGAGTGTACCAGGGTGTTCGGGTTAAACACACAGTGAAAGACCTGCTGGCTGAGAAGCGATCCCGACAGACAAGCGGGCCCAGATATACTGTAAGCACCAACTGTTTTTGCTATTGTACCCTCCTGTGCTGTCTGTCTCCCTCATCATCCTTCACCCAAACCAAATACCGTAGCCACAGTTGACATTCTGTTGATGACACAATTACGGCACTGCCTTCAAATATTATCCTCTCCGTTTACATTTACTGTTGTTTTGTGCACTAATAAGTCAATGGTTGATCCATTGACCAGCTGTACGTGCCTCCCCCCTCTGTTTCTGCTGCCCTCAAGGCCTCATAAAGACCATCTGTAAATAGTTGAGCACAGTGTGTGTGGATAAAGACAAAGCACAGAGTCCTATCCTAACCTCACAAAAGAACATTGACACAATGCATGCAAAGGCAATGGCCGTGATCTTCAAAAAAATAAAAAGCTCCCTGGAGCTGGAGCTTGAGATGGGGGGGGAGAGGGGGTGGAGGTGGGGGGGGGGGACGCAGGGCAGACAGAGAAAAGGCCAATGCAGGAGGTTGCCTATGCAAAGTTTGATCAACACACACCTGCCAGCCGATATTGTCCTCAGTCATGAACAGGCTCCAGACAAACCTCCTATTGTTGTCAAGCACACACACGCACACACATTGGTAAAACACACACACACACACACACACACACACACACACACACACACTAGCTTGAATTTACAGACAAATTTGGCTGTGTCTTAGATGCCTGCATGCACAAACAAGACTGGCTTTTCATTACCACAAACTGCCTGTCAAAAGGCTTTTATGGGACAGTATTCACTCATTGGTCTAATGGTGGCATGTCCACTCCATAGATATGCAGGCTGCTTACCGCTCAGCCGGTTGGGAGATAGCATGGGATACAATAAGACAATAAAACTGTAGGTGAAAACATACCTTCACTTTCTGCTCTGGAAATTTCTGCAGAGGTTCATAACTTCAGTGGTTGGAAGTTGTGGGTAGTTGTTCTCCATGGAGAACTCCCAACAAAGTCTGCTGTACCAGAGCTAAAAGGATTTTATGCTAACAGGTTACACTGAGGCAAAGGAGCCTGTAAAGTGAAACATGTACAGGAAATACTGCTCTATGCTGCGTTTCCATTCCAAACATGCGCAAATCTTTGTCTATTGTCTGCTCATGTCGAAAAAACACAATTTCACTATAAATTCATTAAAAATCATGTCAGCAATGGATGCAAACTGTTATGTGAGATTCTATTTATAATTCAGCCATAGCAGTAGAGCTATATTTGTCATCTTATTCAGGCATTAGAACGACAAGCCCTTTATACCTACATATGTGGAATTTTGGAGAAATTACAGTCATCGATTTTACAGAATAGAATAAGATACAAACTGTCTGATGCTGTGAAAGCTCTGGTGAAGCTGCACGTTGTCCAAAAACAACAACAAATCACCATCCTGTCACTACTTCCTGTCATCTTCTGAGCCAGCAGTAACATCTGACTGTTGATCATGGGGCTCGTCTGTTGTGGAAAAAGTGTTTCCATTGTAATTTTTGTAAAACACATCTATTTCAATACTATCAAAAAACACCTGATCCTTGCGCAAAAACTATCAAAAAACGGGAATTTTCTCAAAATTGCGGTGTTTTCTTGAAGCAAAGTTATTTTCATACTTTCAGTTTGCATAGTTTTATGGTTAATGATAATGCAGGAATATCTCTCTAAAATCTCTATGTAGCCACTTTAGATAGCCACACAGGCTGAAGCTAACATCTCTGTTCAGGCCTGGCTAAGACCAAAAACTTCTGCTATCTCCAGTTCCAAATAGTCAGAGAGGCTTATGGGAACATTATTTTATGAACTTCCATATAAAAAACCAACCAATGCAAAGTTGGCAACAGTTCAAAGGTATTCAAATGAGCCTGTCTGATACTTTTGAGAGCAGACTTTAAAGATGGCAGAAGTTCTTATAAATCTTGCCCACAATCAGAAGAGCCAATATCTTTAAGCTTCATCACCAACTAATCTAGACTCATAATAAGATGAAGAGATAAAAGTGTTATTTACTGGAGGTAACAAAACTACTCAAAACCTTTTAAATGAAAAATCCCAAGATATCCAAGAAGAGTCAAATATTTACACATGAAGTGAACATTAGCAGATATGTCTTCCTCATGAACATTTTTGTGCGCTCTCAATCACAGTATTATGTGTAAAAAATAGATAAACCAACACAGTTATCATAATGAGCAGATATGTTATTTCCTTTATTTTCTTGACATGTAACAATATTTGCAATGAGCATAAAGGAAACATTAGCCTTTTTGTAGTAATCATACATTTGTTAGACATGGACACTTTTATTTTTTTCTACTTTTAACTGGGGGCCACTGACCTTGATGTGAATTGTGTCATTCAGACCGGTGAGGTTGGAAGGATGCAGTTCTTCCTGTACGAAACATGGTGATTTAAAAACCTGTTCTGCTTTGCATATGGTTTTAGGAAAAAGAAAATACAGCTGCTTTAAATTCTGACTCATATTTTACAAATTTAGTATTTTAATGGACAGGTGTAGTGTTTCCATTTTTGTTTTATGAGTGATGACCAAATAGGATCCACTGGGATGTGGGGGAGGTGTGCACTCTCTCTCATTCTGTGTTGAAAGCTGAACTCCATGTTCATCCCATTCCAGCCCAGGGCCAAACGCCACAAAGCAGCAGGCTAGGAGCTTCATTCAGAGGGTCAGTGAGTTTACGTCTGTTGCTGAAGAATGTTTTCAGATTGCTGAAGGCAGCAACATTAATCTGAAACAGCTGTCATATTCCCAGCTTCAGAAATATTAATATGCAAATCTAATAGGCAGCAAATCCAACTTTTTATTTTACTTAATTCAGTTTTGCTTTAAGAAAAGTTAATTTGAGTAAAACAATAAAAACATCATACAGCCACTATTTACTTGGTAAAGACTTGTTTCTATTTCCTGTTTCAGTCCTCGTCCTTCGTCCTGATCCGTTTACTCCGGATTTCTATGGCTGCAAGATAAACCAAACTTCTTTAGCAACTCCACTCCAACATTTAAAGCTACTGGGCACTAAAATGATACAGTAATACACTTTTTTAAAAATGATTTATGATTATGATGTTATGTGAAATTAATTAGCAGAATTTAATCTATTATGCTTTTGGTTAGCTGTTTGTTCTTTAGCTGTAGATATTTACTCACTGTTCTTGTCATATATTTTGTATTAATGAAATAAGAAGCAAGTCAAGATACATAATTAACATCATTCAAATGTTTAAGACAACCACTGACAGCCACTACTGACAACCTGTTCTTAAATTTGCTTGTAATTTATAAGCAAAAGAGAAGCCACTTTATGCCTAGAGTTGTGTAATTTTGGACTGTAAAGCACCATGATTGCTCCAATTTCACAAGGAATTTTAACTTAAATTTGGCCTAAATTACTTTTTTTTTTTTCAACAAATAAGCTTAACTCATGTGATGTGTGTACCACACACATGAGAAAAGCTCTGAAACATTCTAACCCACAAATAGGTGAAGTTTCAGCTGTAGGACCGTTTCTCTTTGGGAGATCGGTCTACCAAGAAAACTGACCAACTTGCCAGGATTTGAAATCATATCTTTATGTCAGATTTTTCATAGAGAGCCTCAAACTAAACATGACAAGGTGCATTTGAGGCCTTCCACCAGGGACTCAAACATGTTTTATTCAATGGTCAAATTCTGATTTCTGGATGAAATCATAGGACTGAAACTAGTTACAACCAACTTCCTGTTATTAAATTTGTTTACAGTTTATAAGCAAATTATGAAACAAAAACTTTATCTCTGCAGTTGTCTAATTTTGGAAAGTAAAAGTTAATGAGTGCTGTAATTTTCAACATAATTTTAACCTAAATTTCCAATTAATTGTTTATCGATCAAAAAATAGCGCACTTTTAAAATAAATAAAACAATCAAAATATAAATTTTAACCCAAGGGGAAAAAACACACAATTTCAAAACAAGGGCAGTGAAAACAGATACTCAGTTTTCTTCAGGTGTGTGAAAAATTGTACACTTAGAAAACAAAAAGAAAATTTTACCCATTTATTTTTGTTCCAAATTTCTTAGGATCTTGGATTGTTTTTGTGTTCTGATAATTTTGTTCTGTTTTTAATTAGATCAGTCTTGTTTCTGTTTTACTTTTCTTTAGTCCTTATTATATTTACTTTTTTTAGAGTTATTCTTAGTTACTCTAGTTTATTATGTTTCTTAAGTCTAGTTCAGGGGTCCCCAAACTTTTTCCTGTGAGGGCCACATAACTTTTCCCTTCCTTGGTGGGGACCAGAGTCAGTTTGTAATAGGAAAAGTGTGACGATTGCAGGAGAGAAATTTATTGTTTTCCAGAAAGCACAATCAAAAAACCCTCTCTGGGTTCTTCACAGAACAAAAGTCAGGAAATAAATAATAACACTATTAATGAAATAAATAACAACCACATAACCCTCTCTGGGTTCTTCACAGAATAAATCCAGGAAGGATTATAGTCAGTCTTTTCCAAACTATGAGCCGCACCGGACTATAAGCCACAACCCCAAAGTTTTTTTTTTAAAAAAAACAGTAAACATACACATATAAGCCTCAGATATCTCTGCCGCTCCTGGTTTTCCACAACGATGCAGCAGAGGGGGGCGGACACCCAACATTTGAGTCATAACAGGTCAATTAAATATCACATTTATTACGGTTGAAAAGGAAAAAGTTGCCAAGTTTAGATTTAACTGAACTGATTACGGTAGTTTCTGAACGGTAACTGTAACAGTAAAAGTGCTGATCCTTCGTGTTGCTACTAGCATGTGCTAAATGAAAATAGACGCCTTCTTCTTCTTCTTCTTCTTCTGCTTCTTCTTCTTCTTCTTCTTCTCCTTTAGATTTCAACAGCAGCTTGCATCAATTATTGTTGCACTACTGCCATCTACAGGATCCTAATATCTATACCTCAAATTCTCATAATGATCCCAGTATTATTTTAAAAAAATGAAAAATCTTCTTTTTCCCC